TGCAGACGTTGAGGTCAATTGTGAGCCCAAAGTTTTACACGCTTTGGGAGGGTCGGGGGCTGCTCCAGGGTCGCAAGAAGAAGGGAAGGAGGTGGCCACAGGAACTGAAAGAATTTGAGTTGATGTCATTGCTGCGCCAATTGCACCAAACTGCGCCAAGGGGCTAACCCTGCTACATTCTGGTACATTCTGCCAAAATGTGGGTAATCTGCGCCAAGCCTGCTCCAGAAAGCCAATTTCGGTCGCTTTTCAAAATTGAAACTAAACTGAGTACCGTAAGTATCGATGCGCTCAGGTTATTTTTTGTTGTGTGTGTTTAGCTTCTACCTTGTTTGCCGGCCTGGCAAGTGCGTGCCATTGAACTGGTTTTTGTCGTATGCTCAACAGTTACATTTTGCATACAGTTTTGGGAATCGTTTGGCGATGGAGCGGAGTGCAATGGTTTCGGTTTCGATCGAACAGCCATTTTCTTTGCTTACCCTACGAAGCACGCGCAACTGCAAGCCTGCCAAAGTGGCCTTCATGTGCATGCAAACATGATTGTACGACATAGGCACCAGCTGAGACGCTTGCAATCCCTTGTTTTACATTCGCTTACTTTTGACGGAAATCTGGCACATCGGGAACCAATAAAACCGTTGCAAGCGGTTCTTCGGAATCGCTCGGCAATGTCTACAGCACTGTACGCTTGGGAGATGTCTCAGCAGTAAAAACACAAGCAGCAAGTTCCATCACAACACATCACATCAGAACACAACATAACGCAAAGTGTCCTTCGTTTGTACAACACTTAGAATAAATATTTATATTTTTCTGAGAATATCTGCTCCAAAAGCCACTTTTGATGCTTTAAAACACTGTTCTGGTTGCTCCAAAGTCCACATTTGCTGCTCCAAAACACTGTTTTGGCTGCTCCGAAAGGTGCTCCGAAATGGCTTAGGCCAATCACATCACTGAATTTGCCTTGAGCATGTATTTTCATGGTCCCAAGGCATACCGGCTCCTGTGCGAGGTCCTTTCGAACGTGGTTTTCTGAGGTGCCAGGGTGGCAAACACAGCCTTAGTTGCCCTCCTTTCTGGAATCGTGCAGCCCCAGGCATTCGCAGGGGCAAAAACGACACTGTATGCCGTAAAAAGATGAGAGAACTGCTGCAGGCCTTAATAAGACAGTTGAACGAGGTTCAGCTGTTTGTGAAAGCAGTAGTGTGTGATCAGTGTTTAAGTAATGTCAAATTATCCGAGCAACTGGAAGTGGCACAAGAAAATCCATCTTTTAAAGTAAATGGGCACAAGGTTTATTTCTTCTTCGACACTCTGCACCTAATAAATTGCACAAGAAATAACCTGCGTGTCCCTCACAAGCTTTTCATTGACAAAGAAGCACATTCTGAAATTGTAGATTGGCAACACATTCGTGATTTATATGAATCTTCTAATCCCCTCAGACAGAGGTTGGCAAGGAAACTGACAGATCACTACATTTATATCAGGCCGTTCAACTTCATGAGGGTAAGGTTTGCCACACAGGTCTTGAGCGACACTGTCCCTGACAATGCTGTTCACAATTTCGATTGGGGCACTGCCTGGGACTGCCAAATCTACAGCAGATTTCATGGAAAGAATGGATAAACTGTTTGACTGCTTCAACAGCAATAGCTCCACTGCCATCAATGGCAAAATGAAGTATGCTATAGGTGCCACTTCGAGCACTTGGAATTTTTGCAAGAGAAAGTCACATGAATTGCAAACTGGAGATTTGACAGTCTCAGACAGCCGCGCACAATTCGTGGATGGCTTGTCACCATCAGGGCTGTCCTCGTGCTGTGGGAGGACCTCTCCCAAAATTTTAAATTTACTTGCCTCCTGACATGCCACCTGCAGCAAGACCCTCTGGAAAATCTTTTTGCCTCCTTGAGAATCAAGCATTGATCCAAATGTGCTGCACTGATGCACATTTCTGTTGGGAAACTGTTGACTCGGACGTTTCAAGGGAACTCTGAAGTGCACGACTCCTATATGCTAGCACACGTGTCGCAAGGTGACCCTGCACAGGCACTAGACATTCACGAAGTACAAGTTCCAGCTGGTAAGACATCGAATGAAGACCTCCCGGACATCACGGAGGAGAATGTGCTGTACTGCTTTGCAGGAAACCTCATGCAGCAATTCCTCAAGAGCCGCTGTACAGACTGTGTCTGCGGGTGACTTTTGAAAGAACGGAGTGGTGCATTCACGGGGTCCTGTCATACCAGCCATGCTTTAAGCTCATGGAAATCCTGGGGGCTCCTTGGCGACTTGACCCCATCTTCTGCAGGTTCCTTTGAGGCTATGAAGAACATGGAAAAATGTTTTGTAGAACATGTCGGCATTATTACACATTTGCGGAGTGTAGGCAGTGTACTTCAAGAAAAACTGGATTGCAGCCTACCTCCGAACCTATTTTGCACAGAAGGCTGCCACAGAGAAGTGTTGATTCAGTTCTGCCGAACCCGTCTAATCTGGCACATTAGGGATGTGAATAAAGTACTCAGAAAACCATGTGACAGAAATTATAGCATGAGGAGAAAGCTGGGAAAGCTCTAAAATTAAGATCCGCAGCAACTCTCTGCATGCCAGCGGCCGCAGATTGAATGTGAGGTTTTAAATCGCCCGCTGGGCTAGTACACAGGCTGTAATGGTAATGGAAAGGAGTTGGACAGCCTAGTTTTTCAGAATGTGCGTCCAAATATTAGTTTTTGAATTCCGCCTTTATATGGCCACCGTGGCCAAGAATTGAACCCGCAAATCTGTGCTCAGCAGCTGGCAAAATATGCTAGACCGTGCTGGTCGAATCACTTTCGTGTAGATTTCGTTTCTTTAATTGTTGTCCCATGAAGTGACTTTTTTTCTGTATAAAGAGTGCCTAATAAAAAGAGTTTGGACTTGTGCTCAGGCAAAAGTCGTCCAGCTTAAGCCTCGAAGCACCGGCGGTTGGGCGCACTTTGCATTCACTGACTTGCGATTTAATGAGAAGTTCAAGTGACTATCATCGCACATGCACTGTTACCAAGCCGATCTCAATTGAGTGACGCAAAGTCAAGTGCAAGCATTCCATAAGCGTCGGAGATTAGCAGAAAAAGGTAAACGCACCAGGAAAAAGGAAGTAAACAGGGAAGCTGGTTGATGTTGCTCATTTAAAAAAAATGGACACGGGCGAAGAAGGGGACAAACACAAAACATCTCAATCTTTAAACGTTGTGTGTTCGTCCCTTCCTTTATCCTTCGTCTCCGGATTTAAAAAAAATGTAAACTCGCTTTTTCATTTTGTTACCACCGAGGGTAAAAGGGAGGAGGAGGGAGAAGAGAGAAAAGTGACGCCCCTCACATCTTCTTCCATGGGTTAACAATTGCCATGACGGCGGCACCCATATTTTTGTTCGATTTTTATTGTTTTTGAACAAACTCGGCGTCCGTAAGGGGAGATTTGATGCTGCAGTTTGCAATTGGAGTCCCAGTGGCAGGTATAGGAAGATTTCGGATGTTGCTACTGTCGGAAAGAAGGAGTATATTCACGGCATAAGAGAAATGGACAACGTTTTCAATATAATTTGAGGCTCATTTAGCAATTTTTTTAGATTAATTCATGAGAACTTTGCTTGAAACTGTTGAATTTGATCCCTGTCCATGAAATTCAAAGACTTCGAACTTAAAATCGAAACTTCCAAAGTTTTCAAACTTGTACTTCAAACAATTTTGAAATCTTCGAATTTTTCGTAGTTGAATCTTAGGTAAAGTGAATCCTAGGGGGGGGCTTTCCCAGAACTTTGCAAACTTTTGCTACTTCACGCTTGGTCAGTACAAATGAGAAGGTCAAAAATATCAGGAAAGGACAATTAATCATAATGTAACAACTGGAAATGATGTAAAAAAAAGTAAGGAACTTCCGAGTAGAAGAAAAAGACAACAGAGGAGAATGTCCCAAGGTTGGAGTAATACTCTTCTCTCGTCTTTTCCTTCGACTTGAAAGTTTCTCTATTCTCCAGTGCTACAAGCCAGTACAAGCGTTCAAAATTCAGAAGCCGGACTTATGAATTTGGCACAATTTCTGAAAATAACTTTCTCTGGACACTTGACTTTATCCAATATTCACCGCCATTTCCACAAATAAGTGATGCACCCCCAATTACCCCTGGGGCAATGCATACCAGTTTAAAAAAAATCACCATGTAGGGGAATAAAAGGGCATCATGAAAGACTGTTAAAATGTACTTGTACTTCCTTTGAAAGTACATTCTATTTATAGTACTTAAAGTACATTGCACCCAGTGTACTTGTTACTTTACTTGAAGTGGATCACCTCTCGTTTACTTTATACTTCAAGTACTTTTTAGATGTACTTTACCCAACACTGCCCTTCCCCCTGTAAAAATGTTTTGCAGACGGCCATGACTAGAGTCGAGAATAAAAACCAAGACGATCATATCATGGTCTAAATTATGACAAACTGTGATTTTTATTGGTCCGGTTTTACTATGATTTTAAATCAAGCCTTTCCCACAACTATTTTTTATTTGCAGTTTGTCTATCATTTTATGCTTTTGGTGTGAAATTGTTTTAAATTTGAATGAAAGAATTGTCAAGCAAGAAAAATAGGGCTGAACACGATAATAAAGCTGTGGTCTTCTGAAAAAATGAAAACTTGTGCTTTCTTTCTACCTTCCACTTTATTCATCAGTTACATAACATCCTATTGCAAGCAAATAATTATGGGAAAGAAACAAACAAAAATTGGAGAAGTAGCGTCCCATTGCTAATAAATCAGAATGTGAAAGAAAAAGAAAATTAAGCTTTTTCACCGAAAACAGCAAGCTGCTGTTTTTGTTTCACACGTGGGGTTTACACATTAACAAAGTCATCAATATATATATATTTTTTTTTTTAATGACACGGTGACATTTTAAAGTATATCTGTGATATTGTGGCAACTTTGTAAGAAATGCCTCTTGTTGTTTCTTTTTCAGCTGTTGTCGTGCTTACAGGATCTTCCCCTTTTGCTTTCTCAAGCTCGTGAACAACCATCTGAAGGAATGACAAAAGGTGTGTTGACGGTTCTGTTTTAAAAGTGCCTGAGGCAGAACTCCAAGTAGTATTTTGGTGAAAGCATAGATGTTCTATGCTTCATCATAATTATGGTTTAGTGTTGTGGATTTACAAGAAAAATTAAGAAATATAAAGAATTTTGTTTCTGTTCGAGTGTGCAAACTTCCAAAATGTCATATGCAGCTAAAAACTTGTGTAACAATCAACTTCTCGGCATTCAAATAACTGAAGCTGTTGTCCAAACAAAACATGAAACAGATCTGTTATAAGGTTCAACCAAGTAGTGCAAGCAACTTGGTAATTAGCAAGCTCTATATACTTCACAAATTTAGCCCACACTATCATTTTCTAATATTTGACGCTGCTAAGTTTTGTGATACAAAAGATATGGGACAGCCTTGTGTGCCCCACTCACTTGTTGCACTTTTAAGTTCTGTGTTTTCTGGAAGGATAGAAGGCACATTGCTGTACTTACCGTAAAATACTGGGCGAGCGCCCACTCAAACTTTGAAGACAATCACAAAAAAATGGGGGATGGGCGCTTGTCCGGTCATCAATTTTACATAGAAATGTACTGTGCGTATTTTCTCAGATCTTACAAATTTGGGAATGGGCGCTTAATGTGGACTGGGTGGATGTGTGGTACTCTGCGGTACTTCTTTTTGTCATTGTTGCTTCTCTCGCATCCCCCCTCTTCTGGTTTGCTTTCTAAGTGCATTACTTTCTTAAAATAAGCACAATTTTGATTAATTTCTTCATGTGTTCTAGTAATTCTAATTAACTCTTTCTGAAGCAAGGTAGTTGTAATTCGGATGCAAAAGACTGGGACCCATACATCATTAGCTTTTGGACCCGATGTACTTGCCCAGAATCTCAACATGCAAAGTATTTATTAATCCTAACATCCTGGAGGCTTGCCCATTTGCTGCATTTCTTCTTTAAATATTAATGCTTGGCTTCCTTATGGTCCAGTAGATGGACAACCTCTGTTCATATATATATACCTCACATATACGAGGTGTGGTCAGAAAGTTCCGGGACTGATTTTGTAGCGTAAAAAGAGGGCAGCACAGTGATACGCACTCAGCAGTCGAAGGAAAGGACCTTCGTGTCTCCTTTTACCTAGAGCACTATATAGCTCTTACGGAGCAGAGTAGCGCAATCCTTTGATCCGCGTATTTCGCCCACAACATGGCCGACAGAGCAGCTCGGCGCTAGTCACGTGGTACTCAGGGTTCTAGGAGGCGGCCCGCCCTATGGGAGAACAGATGGAGATCGACTCAACACGTCTGATCAAAAAATAAACGCCGAGTTCACACTTTTCTGAACTAGTCTGTCATGAAGTTCGTAAAGCACTAAACACCTTATCAAAGTTTTAATAATATCGGATGGGTGTGAAAATTTTGAGAAGGCAATTTCCAAGGCAATGGCGTTTGAAACAAACGATTGTTTTGCGCAGCGGAGATGGACTTTATGGATTGGCCGGAGCGGGTCACGTGAACGGTGTGACGTCGCCGCGTCGTCTGCTGCATGATGCCGCTCAGGCATTTTTTAAAACAAATTACGTTATTACATGGCACACAACTTAGCACAAATTATTGTAAACTGTTCCTTTATTATGTCAAAAACTATTGTCGTTCCGTACATCCCCAAAATATTTAAAAAAACGGCGATTTTCTCACGTTCCCCATGCATTTGTGACCGGAGTTGGAACCCTCAGGCATTCACCGCTAGTCGCTGAGAGATGGCATTCTCGATTGCGCTACTCTGCTCCGAAGGAGCTTATAGTGCTCTAGTTTTACCAAAGGGCGCCGCTCTGTGAACATTTGGAGCTGCGTTTCACGAGTTTTCGTGACCATGTGCATGGACATAATGGCGATTTTACTATAGACTACAAACCAGAATGAGAGCAAACATCAATTTTGCATCAAACTTTAATATAAAACAGAAACCTTCGATATGATTTAGCAGGCTTGTGTAAAAAAGCAGTGAATTTCGTGAAGTTTTTTAAGTGGCACTCGCACTTCAGGAACGGCAGAACATCGCTGGAAGACGAAGAGCGGTAGGGGGACTTTATCCGACCGCTCCTTGACTTCGGTGACGTTCTGCCATTCTTGAGGTTTCTTTTTACATAAGCCTTCTAAATCATTTTAGAGGTCTCTGTTTTATGTTTGCTCAGTTTGACTTAAAATTGATGTTCGTTCTTGCCTTGGTTCGCAGTGTATGGCAAGATCGCCATCATGCTTTGCATGTGGTCAAACGAACTAGTGTAGCGCAGCTCCAAATGTTTACAGAGCGACACCTTTTGGTATAATGAGACACAAAAGTTCTTTACTTTGATTGCTGCGCGCACACCACTGTACTGCCCTCACTTTCTACGCTACAAAATCAGTCCCAGAACTTTTCGATCACTCCTCGTATGTATAAAATATGTAGTATGCATAAAGTGCCCATATACTGAACTCTAAAATCTATAGTCATAATTACACGTAGATGATGGCACCTGTTGAAGAGGGTAAGGTTTGGGAGCTATTTGCTTTCAATCAGTGACTGTCAGTAGTAAGAAGTTGTAAGTGTCACAGTAAAGTCATAGCACTGTATCCCAGAGAGTGTTTGGAACATAAAGCATGGACATGTGTATATAGTTATTCCTTTTATCTCCTCTGTAGAAGTAGCAGCATTGAATTAAACGATAGAAACTTGGTCAATTCAGATAACAAGGACATCTATTGAGACAGCCATCTATTTATGTTACCAGCTGCTAAAGTCACCCAGTCCATGGGGGTCATCTGCTGGGACTCCCATACCAGCGAGCACATTGACAGATTGTACAGAGCACTCGGCAACTTTGTAGGTACATTCCATTGCTAAGGTGGGCCTCTCCAGGCTAGATCCAGGAGAACACTGATGAGGACCTGTTTTCTTCAGGCTACTTTGACTACATTCTGGAAAGGAGCAAAGATCAAGCTTTTTGACATGGTTGACCCAGAAGAGGTTGCAAGTGCCAAGCTAGATCAACTGGTGAAGGGTCGTGCCATAAGACCCGGCTACTGTTACTATCATGCAAGGCGAAGAATCCTGTGTTTCAAGTGCAAGGTAATTAGTGTGCAGACTAACTATATAATGCCAATAGTACAAAGGCTTAGTTTTTTTTTCTATTCCTGTTAATGCTTAATCATTATAATTCATCTAATTTGTCTCGTAAACGTCTTTGTAACCGATCACCGATCAGTAACATTCTCTGACGTAAAGAAATGAAGCTGGTGCAGCAAAATTGTGCAACACCCTTTTCCCACTAGACAAGTACAAACTCGTCTGATTCCTCTTCCTTACCTATGGTTGAAATCTGTTCCTTTTTCCTTTTCTTTTTTGTTAAGGACGGCTGGATCGCATTCCGGAAGGTGTCTTTGAAAGGGCACAAGAAAATGACAGCAACTGAGTTTGATTGTGGATTCTTAAACAAGGTGCCTCCTCAAGAACACATCTTTGCAAAAGAAGATTCACCTGAGTAGGCTACATGTCCCAATAAGGAGGCACTTCACAGGTTACTATTTCATGAAATGTGTTGTACATAGACGGTTGTCCTTTACTGAATTTTCACTCAACAAAACACTCTACAGCAACTACCGGAAAACTGTTGTGAGAATAAACATCTACTGAATTATGTATTTATGCCTTTAGAAATAGCCATTTAATTTCTCAAATCGTAATTTCTATGACAAAGGCATCTTTTCTCCTTTTATTCAAGGGATACTACAGGTTACATTGGTTTGTTATAGAAGGGGTTGCGACAGTGATTTGCACGACATACCAGGTCAGAGGCATACCGCTTTTGAAGGGGAGGGCAAGGCATGTCCCCACCCCACCCCCCTGAAATAACTGGCCGCCATTTAACCCTACTGGGGACACCGACTGCATTTACTTATTGCTTGCACACGTCCACGATTTTGAGTGTGTTGAAATCAACACTCGAGAATGTACACGGTCATGCACCAAAACCGCCAATGTGACACACACATAACTGGCAGCAACTCTTTTGCACATCAGTATGAGCTACAAGCGCCTGCTGCATAGCTCTGAAAGGCTCTTTTGTTCAGCGAGTACTTGTGAGTTTGAGGCCCTGTTCAGATCCGCATCAGTTCATGTTTAGCTCTTGCACTGATGCCCAAAATGGTTATTGCCATGTGTATATAATAGGCCATTCTCGAAATTTCTGAACACCAAAGAGTACCCTAGGTGGGTTGTTACATGTTCTGGCATGCTGACGTTTGCAGTAGTAAACATTAGAAGCAAAAAGCTAGAACAACTTTTTTCACATGCATTATTTGTCATTTACTTCAAATATTTTCTGCAGACAAAGCAAATGTGTGCACCCATGCATCCCCGGTACGGTTTTTGGTGCTTGGATGATTTTGCAAATTATCTATTGTTAATTTTTCAAACAATATGACAAAAAAATGAGCATTGAGGACAAGGAAACGCCCTAGCAGACTGGAGGCAATAGACAACACAACAACCTCGAGCAGAAACTTTGACAAGGGTAATATGCAGTTGTTGACCAGCTCATCAATGAAGTGTAATGGATGGTTTTGACACTTTTCTCGCAAGAAGAAATCCTTGTCAGCCCAGCGAAAGGAAGTGCATCCTCGGAGAGGTTGACAGAGCGGCTGGGGATTCATGCTTCAGATTTTATCCTAGACGTGGTGTTTGCACGGCTCCTCATACAGTAGAACTAAAAATATAGCCATGTGGGAGTTCAGGGATTGTGTTGTCCGGCTGATCGCCCTGATCCTGACAGCATAAATGTCTGCGGCCAGTGCGAGAAGATCTTTCGGCGGTCGTGGGTCTTTTAAGACATATCTCCGATCAACAATGTCCCAGTCTAGACTTTCCTTTTTCTTCCTCCTCGATGTTCGCCAGGAAAAAACTGCTGCACTTGATTTAGTGCAGGACACAAAAGAGCCTCTGAAGTGTACAAAATCCTGCAATCTCTAACAACACAACAGACCCTTTCAGAAATTCAGTGCCATCTAGTGGTATAAATATCAATCTACCGTAATATCCCGAGTCATCGCCCATCCCCGAGCCATCGCCCACCCTATTTTTTGGGCCAATATCGATTTCCGAAAAAACACCGAGTCATCGCCCACCCCTTCAAATACCCTAGCGCGGACTCTGCGATCCGCGAACACTCATCCTACCCGAATGACGCGGCCGCGGACCTTACAGTTCGAGGACGTCCGTGACAAAGTAAAACGAAGGAGGGAAAGACACTTCTTTTTGTTTACGCATTTCCTCCGTGAGCGACCCCAAAGTGGTCGTGTATCCGTGCGAAAAGAAAACAATATACATAACAAAATAAGAGTTTGTTAATGTAACCGCGGAGTGTTAGGTCAAAGTCTGTCTCCGCCGAAGGCCACCGCGAACCCGCTCCTTCTTCCCGCCCTTCGAGACCGCGGTTGTGCAATATTTTAGGCAAAGCCAAAGCGTAAATAAAGCATTGCTGGAACGTCCTACACAGACGTTTGCAGAGCGTCCCAACCGTGCATTGATAGCCCGCCGTGCACGGACGCACGTATGTACGCACCAAACAAGAAAGTTGCGCAAGAGCTTGCAATTGACAAGGCGCCCGACTTGGCCCGACGCCAAAGTATTTGCCAACGCGACCGCCGGCTTTCCCGCTTTCCCAGCATTGCTCTTGGTCGCTTCTTTGGTCTGCTCGCTCGCTCGCTCGCTCGTTGCGCCTGGTCGGTATTTCTATTTTCTTGTAGACTTTTCTTTCTTTTTTTTTTTACTAACTAGGAGAACATAGTGGTGACATTCTTTCACGGAACAAACGTTCGCGCTATATGCAGATCGGCGGTGTTTCTAGCGCGTATGCAAGCAACGGACTTCGCTATAGTAAAATATTCTTTCGTGAGCATTTTTTTCTATAAAATAATGAAACTAAATCGAGTTTTGAGTTTGATGTATCTCTTGTACATCAGCGCTAGATACGCAGAAAAAATAGGCGGTTTTTTCCGCTTTTTTTTCAAGTGTTTGTGCTCACCCACCGAGACATGGCCCACCCCACTTTTTTAACGAATTTCAAGCGGTAGGGGGGTGGGCGATGACTCGGGATATTACGGTAAATGTTTTTAATGCTAATGGCAGTTAAAGCCTAGTATCTATTCATCAACGACAGACATACAAATGTTACGGTGTTCTTCACTGTACTGTTATTTCTCTGTTGGTTTCAGTTTGAATGGTGTCCAGATACTTCCACTTTGAGTAATGTCTGGGGCGTGCCAAAGCCGAGTATTCCAAGGTTTTATATGATACTCTCAAATGTGCATCGCATAAATGCTTGTCAATCTCGTCATGGTGACGTCGAACACCAATACAGCAAATTAACGTCTGGAATGTTCAGGCACTGCATCGGCGTCTGCCTTCAGTTTCTTCCTTTGCCAGCCATCAAAAGGTCGCCATTAGCATGTACAGATAATATACACTTGTATGCACATAAGTGATAATATTTATCAAAGTGGCCAGACTGAATCCTAAAAAGGGTCTATTATATCTAGCATGTTAATTTTGTTTTCTAAACTGATGTTTTATTAAAATTATCAAGAAAGGCAGTCAGTTTGTCTTCTCCATTCAAAGAATCACCTCGTCTTTATTCACGAAATACATTATTCCAGTCTTTGAAGCGTGGGAGCACTGGCTTCTTTATTGTCTTGACCGAGTGTGCAACATGCGACAAATGCACACATGAAAAACGGCGTGCATGCAACAACAAGAACATTGTGATGTTCCTAAGCTGTCTCTAATAATCCGGAAATCAGGATTAGTGCTTGAGGTAAAAATGGACTTCCAAACACTCATCCTGTTCACTCTAAATCATAAAAAAAAAAAAAAAAAGAATGAGAAACTGAGGTGGTGAGAATGAGAATGGAGAGTTTCAGTCGTTCCGCCTACAGCGCAAGCTTCTTGCCTTTGTCAGCGCTTTGGTGTCGTGAGCCCGCACGCACATGCACCCGAACATGGTTCGTACAGATTTTGAAGACAAAATTGCAAAGGTTTAGAGGACTTTTAGGGCCCTCTAAATATATCTTCAAGGAAGCCATAGTGTTGTATCTGGCAGTTTTTATAGTACCACGACTTCTTTAACAAACTGATATGTCTTATTATACCCACTCGTGCGTCATTCATTGTTCTGGTCTGACGACTGCTGGTACAGCGTCAACAAATCACTCATTTACGGATGGCATCTAGCCACTGGTGGAGCTATCCACTGCAATCTGTTCCCACCATGGATGTAGGAAGCTTTTGGAGGCGACATGACGCCACCGGAGGTGAAACCAGTGGAGATTTCCGGTTTGGAAGGAAAAACACCCCCGACGATGACCAAAACCAAAAGATGCTATTGGACAAACTTGGACACTATTGGATGGGTATGGGTACCCTTGAGGGCACTCCCGCCGCCCGCGACAGAGGATTTTCTTGTTTGGCTGTTTCGGGCCAGTATGTCGCCTCTTATATCTAGCTCCCTGGTTCCCACCGTATTTCACACTCCTGATATGACTTTTTAACGCCAACTCTTCCATAGACGAGGTGGTTAACGTATTTCAGCAAGACTTGCATTTTTGCCCGATATGAATTCATTGGATCTGGCACCTGTGTTTATCATTCTTAAGAGACAGCTATTGGAAGTAATTGTTATTCTTGTCCAGCTTGCTGCACCTCTGCATTAATTGAAATAACATCATAACCTTAAAATGCTAGCCGTTCATCGTTGTTGTTGTTAGACTGATGGCAGCTGTTAAAGCTTGTTTGCTCTACTGACGTCTAACTCCTAGTTCACGCAGTTGGTAGAGCGCTCCATTGGAAATGGAGAGGTCCCTATTTCGATACCAGGGCCAGGCGGATTTTTTCAGTCGCACTCCAGTCATGTAGCTGTCTTTGTTAGTTTTGTGTTTGTCCTTTGACCCTCTTGTTCCCTTTTTCCAGGAATTATCATTATTGGAAGTTGCACTTCGTGGGCATGACACACAACCTCAAGCTTGTCCACGCGCACCATCTGCCGCTTGAAGCATATTCAGACTGAGCCAACCAAGCGCAAACAGGCGGCACATAGAAGCGCAAATAGCTCAAATTGCGGAGAAAGCAAAGCAAAATCACAAGATGGGGCGATGTGGACAAATCCGAAACTACTTTGAACGTTGCCAGGTGCTTAACAAACATCCATTAAATGTCTTAAATTTGATAACGTAAAGTAAATCTTGCTTGTCGGAAACTTAAAATTTTAATGTTTTAGTATAAATTAGGTATGTGTGAATAGCGGATTTTGAGTTCAAAGTGAATTCGAAGCAAATAGTGGTTTTGGCCGAATATTTTCTAATTGAACATTGAATTGTTTTTTCAAGCTTTTCACTACTTTCCACTTCACCACTTTCAGCAAAAATGAACTCGTAAAGGTTGTTCCCTAGTCACTTGTCCATTTGTATGCTGAGGTAATTTTAATTTTATATTTATATTGTTAACATAAAATTAGCTTACAAATGGAAAAGTGACTTGGGAACAACCTTTACGAGTCCAGCTGTGTTTTTGTTTAAGCATGGTGCAGTAGTGAAAGGCTTGGAAAAGCTTTGATATTTATATACGCCAGTTCATATATGGGCTGGGGGCT